CAGTCTTGCCTGAAGAAACCATGAAATGACAGAATTCAAGATCCTAAGGACAGGGATGAAGATAAAAAGCAAGCTCACAACCCTGAACATCTGGAGAGTAGGCTTTGATCTTTTCAAAGATCTTCTTGGAAGAGATCCATGAATAAGGTTCATTGTGAGGCCACTGGTGATAATCTTTGATCATGGTGACTGGGAGAACAGCTTGAAGAATATAGGAAAGCAAATATCACTCCTATCTTCAAGAAAGGCAGGAAGTAGCATCAAAGGAACTACAGGCTGGTCAGCCTTACCTTGATCCCTGGGAAGGTAACAGAACAGCTAATCCTGGGAACCATTTCCAGAAACATGAAGGACAAAAAAATCAACGGGAGTACTCACGGTGGACTCACCATGAGGGAGTCATTCTTGACACCTTGATGAACTTCTACCATGAAATGACTGACCTGACAGATGTGGAAAGAACTGTGAATATTGTCTACCTGGACTTCAGCAAAACCTTTGACACTGTCTCTCATAACAGTGGGAGGAGACAAAGCTAGGACAGTTGACTCAAATGAACCATAGTGCTATTCTATACCATGTGACACAGTGCACAGTAATAAAAGCTGTGAGAAGAAGGAGGAAGGGTGGACATCTAGATGGACATCCACAGTTACAGAGCCTGTCTTAACAAATACATTAGGCGTGATGGAACGCTGCTTTCCTGGAAAAGGTTGGACATCTGACTGGGAATGGGAAGCAGTAAATTAATTCCTTATCTTGTTTTGCTTGTGCACACTACTTTTGCTTTACCTATTAAACTGTCTTAATACACAAGTTCTCACACTTTAACTTTCTAATTGTCTTCTGTGTTCCACTGTGGGAGAAGTGAGCAAGTAGCTGTGTGGTATTTTGCTGTTTACTGAATTTAACCCACATCAACATCACAGTATTAGGAAAAATAGAGCTTGCCGTGGATATTATGATCAATGTGCCTTGTCTTTAGTGCATCTATGAGGAATATTTTGTTTTTATGCTAGTTGAAACTCAGTTCAAATCACTTACTGCCATTAGTAAGGACGGGGATGAAAGTACCAGTGAGGAGTACCTGAGTTTCACTCAGCATTTTGGGAGTGCTATCTGAGTTCTTCTACAGCGGTGGTGATTACGGGTCTCCGGAGAATTGGGAAAAAAGAGCAATAAGATATTCAGTAGAAAGGAAACAAAGAGGGGAAAAAGAGGGAGGTTTCATGATAAACTTTACTGTCATTTTGAAAAACTGCCTAATAAGTATAGTGGCATACAAGATCAGTAATTACTTTTCTCAGATACATAGAATAATTGAGAAACTGATGCAACTGGGGAAGTAGAGAAACGAAGGCTGAAAGTTGAAAATGTATGACTAGATAACCAGTTAAACAAAAGTACTGTGAAACAAAGACTAGAGCTATTTTATGTTTCTTGTCAGTAGTTGAAATAAAATAATAACAAAGCTTTTGTGACTGCATGCAAAATATAGCTTGGAGAGATTAAACTGCCGCTGAAGATGTACCAGTGGAACAAAACTATAAGTTCATTAAGGAGGCAGTGCCACAATGGTACTTTAGTCTCTATCATCACTTTAACAAGAAACTCAAAGATAAAGTCTTGGCTGAAAGACATTTTGGAATTGAAATACTTGACAGAATGGAATACTACATCTCATATTGAACTCGAATTAAAATCTATATTAAGTAATTGCTCAGAACTGGATGGCACAAGACAAAGGGAACTGTCCACATAGTGGAGCAAAAATCCCAAACCCTTCTGGAAACCAAGTAAATGAAAAATACAACTGTTAGGTAATGTGATAAAATCTTGCCTGTGTGCACAGTTATACAGACAACAGATGATGGAAGCCTGAGTAACACCCTACCTGGCTAATCCAGGCCCATCACAGAGGCCATCAGCCTATCAAAGTTCCACTTCCACAAGCCTAAGGAAGCACACAGACAGGCAGGTGAAACCCAAAATAAGGACTCAGTGGAAGGGACACTCTATCACCCAGTGTTGTCTCTCAGTGTTGTCCTGGGAGAATCCCAGCCCCAGTATCTAGACTGAATGTGATGAACCCACTGGGACAGGTTTCTCATGATGATACAATACCAGACTATCTCTGGGACTAACGAACTTCACTGTCTAGGGGTGTGAAATGTATTATCATAAAATCATAGAATTGTTTGAGTTAAACAGGACTTTTAAAGGTCAACTAATCCAACCTCCCTGCGATGAACAGAGACATCTGCAGCTAGGTCAGGTTGCTCAGAGACCCATCCAGCCTGACCTTGGATGTCTCCAGAGATGAGGCATCCACCATCTCACTAGGCCAGCTGTTTCAGTACCTCATCACATTTATTGTAAAAAAACTTCCTTCTTATATCCAATCCAAATCTCCACTCTTTGAAACCGTTTTCCTTTGTCCTATCACAACAGATCCTGCTAATGAGTCTGTTCCCTTCCTTCTTATTGCCCTTCTTCAGAACCTGAAAGAGCAGCTCTAAATTGCAGCTCTAAATTGCAGAGAACTTACTATGGAAATTTTAAGGAAGAGCCACAGGCAGAGAAAGAGAGGAATTTAAGTGATTTGGGGACAAGATAGATGGGCAAGGACATAAAGAGAGGTTGGCTGCATCTAAATAGCACCGGTCAGCACATCTATCTGGTAATATTCTGAGGTAACTTATTGAATTCCTTTCTAACTTCTTTCCTGGATGAGAGACTTGTGTGTGTATTTGCAGGTGCCAACAACTGAGGAGACTAGGCCCCAGGGGAAGCTGCTGGGCAGGCTGTGTGGTAAGCTCAGCTGCTGGAGCACCCACATTCTATGTGTGCATACATATGTATTCTCTCTCTAATCTATTTTGCTCAGCCAGAGAAAAAGCTTAGATGAGGCTGCTGATGCCATCTGTGTTTGTGTGAGTGCTTTGCGTGTCCTCACTTAATTCAAATGGCTGGCCAAATACACGCATATGTACATCTATATGCATATATGTAGTGTTTATGTGTGCTCTGTGTGCATATGCCTAATGGATATATATCTTCACCCCCACTACTGTTTGGATCTAGGGATGCAGAATTGTGATGGCCACATGTCTCTTGGGCCATCAGAATACAGCTTGATATATTTTCCTCTAACAACAACCAAATAGAGGATATCTTACAATGTTAGTGCTGAGGTTTTAGTTAAAAATTTAGCTAAACCTGTAAGCATAAGGCTACTGATGCTTTACTTAGATGTAGGCACTTGATGAAAGTAGGTTAAAAGTCTATATTTTATTAACTTTGATTGGCTTGGGACACAAGATGTGGTTAGTTCACTGCAGCTTTAAGAATTTCTCAGAAGTGGCACTACTGATTCTGTGGCACAGACCTAATTTCATGCAAAGCAGATAAAATGGAGTTGAATCTACTTCATTTAATTTAATTAATTTAAAAGTTAGAAGTTCTTGCTTAGATCAAGGATCTTTTATGATGGGAGGAGTCACCCTGTCTTTCCACTGTCCATCATGGAAGCACAAAAAAAAAAAAAGATTTTTAAAGACCTAAATTTGAAATGAATGCCCAATTAGAAACCAAATACTGAATGAAACAGATCTGACAATACACTTGCACTTTAAAGGCTAAAACATGACTCATTCCAGGTCATCTCTTTGTGGCTGCTGTTGTCATAATTGCTGCTGGGCACTGAGCTAAGTTAATTACTGCTAAGCAATCTCTACTAGGCTGCAGTTAAAATAACAACATAAAAATCCTGTAAAGTTAATGCATACCTACTCAATAAATCAATTAAAAAGAAAGAAGCAAGAAAAAAATTAGAAATGTCTCTTTTACTCCAGGCAAATAATCTGGGATATACCATATTACAGAATTTAGATCACATATAAAGTCTCTCACACAGTATTGTGGGCAACCATCATGGAATCCTTTCCCAAATACCAATTTCACTTTAATATTATTTTGTAATCTCACTGCTCTTTTCAGAAGGCTATCCTGATTTCATAATCTTCAGCCTGCTCATATTCCCTTCCCCCAAGTAATTTACATCAATTTATTCTCAAGTCAAAATTGTTTTGGCTACATGTAGTTCTCTGACCTACTGATATTCTCCTCCTTCCTCTTCTATTTTTCATGGAATTATGGTCACCTACAAAGACATGCCCACCTTCCTGATCACTGTTTGCTATTCTCGTTATAAAGGCAACTGAATGATTTTTTTTAATCTTAAGAATGACTTGACATCACAACATAATTTGGTGTAACTAAAGTTGTGTAAGCATATTAAAAAAAAATTGTCCATGGGAAATCATTGAGAAGATTTTTGCACTTAATAACGTATCCAAACATATCTTATTTACCTTCAAAGTTAGCAAAAATACAGGGAAAAAAAAAAAAAGCACTTCCGCCATTGTTTGTGGAGAGGAAATTGAATTACTTTATATTGATATTTTGAAACTATATACCTATAGTATGTGAAAATTACTCTTATCTCATCAAATTAAAATTGAAGTACTTTTCATTAGGGTCACTTTCACACCTTCCACTCTCTCCCTACCCTTTTCCTGCACTCTTACATTTTGCCTTTGATTTTGTTGAACAGAGATAGATTTGGGACTCTGATGTTTTATTTCATGTACAGGCTTTCAAATATAAATGGTGAAGACTAAGGGCAAAGCTCACACAGAACATAGATACCTGCACCCACATTGTGCCCAAAGAGGTAAATTGGAAGGGACAGAGGTGAGGGGTGGTGATGAATACACCTGGGAAAATGCTTTCATGTTCTATTACAAAGTCTGCCTGCCACCATGAAGCAATCAACTGAATAACTTACATCTGATTATATAATTCCTCTCATTGCAGAAAAAGTGGGTAGAGGAGGAGAGATGGGAAAGGGGGGGAGGGGGGGGTTGCATATAAAAAGGATTAAAAGTGCATTGATTTACAATCTACTACTGTTTGAAAAGAAAAATATCTGATCCTACCTCTTCGCAGGCGGTCCTGAAATCCATGTGCTATGACACAGCAAGTGATATTTGTCTAAAATAGAGAGAAAGACTTCATTAGAATGAAAAAGATACTGCAAAACATAAGTTATCTGTCTAAGCTGAACAATTGAACTAGCCTTTGTCAGGTCCAGATATAGTAATTCCTTATAAAGAGAAATGATCAAAGTTTCAAAAGGATTAGGAAGCGTAAGATGTTGTAAATAATTTCTGTTCCTTATAAAGTACACAACTTGGTTTCACTGATAGGATCAGAGGTATTTTTCTGCTCCCACTATCTTGTCCCTCCCATGGGGCATTCAAATTTATTTTTCATATAGCAAGAACAAGTTTATTTTTCATTTCTTTTCAAAAGTGAGGGCATACTGGAAAGTAACGCTTTAGAAGGAGACAGTTCAGAGTTGCTTTTCGGAATGCTCTTGCTCTCAAAATAATGAAAGATTTTTTGTTTTTCTTTTCTCCCATAGCAAAAGAAACATTAGGAGTCAATACCTTTGTCTCACATTTTATTAACATACGTAACCTCTCCATGGAATCCAGTATCATTTAACATCATTTAACAGTGTGTCGACTGCAGAAATATTTATGAGTTGAAAAAAACAAATGTTAGGGAAGTCGGGAATATGAGTGAGGGCTGGCAAAATGTCATACCAAATCCTATGATTATTACTTTGCTAGAACTTTACCTAAAGTATACTCATCCCAATGCACACTTATTCATTCATTTATTTATGAGATAACGCTACCACAGCTGGCTTTTATCAGAGGACCAGAACAGTGTCCTGCTCCTGATTCTACAACACAAATTCTCATCTTTCTGCATAAAACATTTCCAAGAAACACTTCCTGGGCAAAACAGATACTTCATGAGATACTTTGCTGAGACGCAAAACCTGTAACAAAATCCTTCCCCTCAATTAGTTTGTTATTATTCTGAATGAATCGTGTGCTTACAATTATTTGTATAAATTCAGTACTCAAAGCTTCAACCTAAGAGCATAAGCTCAAAATGAAATTTAAAAAAAAAAAAAACACCATAAGACAAAAATGCAAATCTTAATTAAAAATATCTTAATCTCTTAAGCATCTTAATTTGTTTTACTGTCTTGTACTTAGTTTTATTACATCCAAGTGCACATACATGGCAATATTCTGTATTTACTGAGCTTTGTCTGTTTCACAGCCTGTGCACCAAGCTTATTTCTAACAGAGCTAGCCCACTTTGGCTAGGTTACAGTGCATCGTTGCTTCCGTGTCAGCTTTACAAGTGCACCAACAAACATCTATATTTTTAATTCTGCTCTCAAAATGCTCATGAAAGACAAGGTCACTATTACAACTGTGAAGGCTTTTCATTCTTGAGGGACAGTTATTATGAAATGAGTTTGTATTTTTTATAAACTCTCCTTCTCACAGATGAGTAAGCTGAAATGGGAAGGAGGCTTTACTTCAAATATTTTGTGAGCTTTTTAGTTTCTAGAACCAGAAACTTTTGTATCTTTAAAATAAAAATTGGAGTGCTGCACACAGTGTTATCCTTTCTTAGGCTCTGACTTGATTAAGTCAGTAACTCCAGATACAGAAAAAAAGTGTCTCCAATTACACTCTACTAATTCCTAAAGGTCCTGCAACATTCAAGTAACACCGGTTCCACAATAACTGATGACTTCTCTTCAGTTACTTTTTAATTACACTTGAATGCAAATCCTGTTAAACCCAGGCATTTCCCACAACTATGTAATATTCCATCTTCATCTCTTTTGTTGTTTTCATGTATTATTGATGTATTTATGTATTCATTTAATAAATATTCATATTACCATGTAGAACCAAAGTCAGGAACTAAGATGATTCTATGTACAGCTGGTGACCCAAAATAAATTTTAATTTGCTCTGATAATTAGTAAATATAGTATGAATTTTCATATGAATATCAGCTTTACTGAAAAAAAAAATCTTTTAAACATCTCATTCACTACAGTTATTCTAGCAAACCTCATAGGCTGGATAATGTTATTTATGAAAAGCAGGAGAGACAGTTCTCTATCCTATGACTTGAGAGACGTCATGGCAAACAAGCATTGACTTTCAGTGCTCTGTTTTGTCATTTTTGAGGACAGATTGCAAATTATAAATACTACCTCTCTCTATCTGTTAATATTTGACAAGTCTACCTGCTGACACTTCTTTTCCCTTACATGATATATCACAAATACAGAAATTGATAATACAACAAATACCCTCCTGACATTCATTTCAGATTGAAATAATTACTTTAGTTCCCAAGGAAGGTTACACACAATGTTTCACTGAATTATAGAACGGTTTGGACTGGAAGGGTTCTTAAATATCATCTAGTTCCAATCCCCTACCACAGACAGGCACACCTTCCACTTGACCAGGTTACCCAAAGCCTCATTCAGCCTGGTCTTGAATACCCACGGGCATGGAGTATCCACAGCTTTTCAGGGCAATCTGTTCCAGTGCCTCACTACCTTCATAGCAAAAAATTCCTTCCTAATAGAATTTAAATCTACGCTATCTACACTCATCTAGTTTAAAATCATTGTCCTTTGTTCTGTCACTATACTCTCTGATAAAGAGTCCCTCCCCAGGTTTTCTAGATTCCCCCTTGAGGTTCTAGAATGAGGTTCTTCACTGCTGTAAGATCTCCCTGAAGTCTCTTCTTTGCTAGACTGAAGAACCTCACTTTTATCAGTCTTTTTTCACAAAAGAGGTGCTCTAGCCCTCTGATCATCTTCATGGCTCTCCTATGGACCCACTCCAACAGGTCCATATCCTTCACATACTGGAAGCTGAAGAGTTGAACATAATACTCGAGGTGGAGTCTCATTAGAGTAGAGTAGATGGGAAGAATCAACTCTTTCAACATGCTGATCATGCTTCTTTTGATTCAGTCCAGGATATGGTTGGCTTTCTGACTTGCAAGTGCACACACATCATATAAAGCTTTTCATCCACCAGGACCCTCAAATTCTTCTCAGGGTTGCTCTGAAACAAGTTCTCTGCCCAGCCTGTATTTGTGCTTGGGACTGCCCCAACCCAGGTGCAGGACCTGGCATATGGTCCTTGTTGACCTTCTCTTGGGCCCGCCTGCCAAGTCTGTCAGTGTCCCTTTGGATCCTTTCCATACAGTATGGCAAATGCACCATGCAGCTTGGTGTTGTCAACAAGTTTGCAGAATATGCACTCAATCCCATTATACACGTCACTGACAACGATACTAAACTGTACCAGTCCTAATATAAACCCATCAAGGAAAACTGCTTGTCACCAATCTTCACTTGGTCTATCACTTGGTTTATCCATCAGAATCATGTATCTGTAATTTAGAGATAAGGATGTAGTGTTGGTTCAATATCATGTGCTTTGAATAAGTCCAGGTAGATGATAACAGTGACTCCTCCCTGCTGCAGAACACCAACACACTTTTCAGGCACTTTTTGTCCTTAGTGATGCCATATTGACTGTCCGCAGTCATATCATTTTTTTCTGTGTGCCTTAGCATAGTTTACAGGAGGATCTCCTGTTCCATGATCTTATCTGACATGGAAGTGAGAACAACTGCAATTCCTTGGGTTTTCTTTTTTCCCATTTTAAAAATAGGGGGTTATGTTTCTCTTCTTGTCATTGGGAACTTCACTGGAGTGCCATGAGCTTTCAGATACATTGGAGAATGGTTTAGCAACTTCACCTGCCAGTTCCCACAGGATCACTGGATGCATGGATCCGTGCACCTTCAGGATTTTTATATATGGTCTTGAACCTGATCTCCTACAGTGGGAAGTTCTTCATTTTCCTGGTCCTCTGCCTTTGGATTCTGAGACTTTCTCTGGGAAAAGTGTCTGGAGGCAGTTTTTCATGATTGATGATAAGATCTTCTAATATAAAAATGATGCCTAAGACGTGTATCTGGAACTACAGAACTCTCAGCACAAAAATACATTTCCTGCAGTTAGTGTACCTTTTCACACATCACAAACTCTGTCACTGATCTCTGCAGCATGGTTTGCACTATTTCTATATAGCACTGTTTCCAACTGTCTTGGCTGTGGTACAGAGCAGAAATCAAACCCATTATCAAAAGGGTTTTTTTTCAGTCCATCAAGCAATTTTTTTTTAACAGTTGATATTTTGGAAACAGCACACAGAAGCTAAGATTACACAGTTCATTATCTCGTACATCAGCTTAGAAACTTCATTGTTTCCCCTGTTTCCCTGGAAGAACTCTCTAGATTATTAAATTACAAGAATACATATAATGCATCACACAGACGTTTTATAATGCTATGCTGGTAAAATATTTTAATGATTAATAATTTTCTCCTTTTGTTATACACAAAATAAATATATATATACATATAAAACCAAGAAATCCAAGAAATTCTAAAACCAAAGCATTTTAAAAACAATAAACTGTGAAATCCACCACTGACTGATGTCCCTTGGCCTGCCTTTGGCTAACCTCAGCAATCTCCTTATCTTGAAATCACAGCCACACTTATCTGAGCATCTTTCCAACTCTCTAGAGGTTCCTTCAGTCTCACACAAACATACCAGAGCCCAAAGATACCTTAAGCATCAGTATTTCGTTTTTCTTTTTGCCTCCCCATCAAAAAATTGCTTTGGCACAAACTGTGCTCCATAAGGTGAGGCAAAAAAACCTGTCTGTGACTACGAAAGGCTGACGTGCAGAGGAAAAGCAGCAGTATTGGGACAGGGTCTGGTGCACAAGTATAGGGTGAAGCATGAGCAGTGTATATCATTCAAAGAGGAGTACTGGCTAAAAGAGAAAATGAGGCTTCCTCTGAAAAGCTTTGGGACACACAATCAAGGTTACGTAAACAAGCATGCTTCAAAAAGTTACTTTGCATCCTTTCTACTTGATTTGCATTCCATACTTCCTCAAAAACTGAGTTACCAAACTTATTTAGCTCATCTTTACTGATAGATGTATAGGAAGCAGCACATGAATGACAGGTTGGGAACAGAATTTGACACCCTCTTGACAGAACA